CACTCAGCGATGGTGTTCCTCAGAAAAGTTGTCTCCTTAATCTGAACCGGAGAGAATAAACTGTTACTTGGGTAAATATGTTAAGTACAAACAGCATACATTCACTAGATCCAGATTTTTCTTTGGATCTGATCAAAATTGCGCACATTCATGAATTATTCTCTAAGAAATCTAGGAAACGTTGAAAAATGCCTTATCTCCCAAAGTTAAAGAAAGGGAAAATTCCTAGATCTGGGCCCAGATCCGAATCTGCAGCAAAATTCAACAGGATCTTTCCTGACCCAGACTCCATTCTTCTGCCTTCTTGTAGTGTTTGTGTTATGCTACAAACTAACAGATAAACAAACAAACAAAGGGCATTTTTAGATTTTACCACCAAACTACTTTAACCACAAAGAAAACTGGAATTTGACATGATTATGAATCAGCCCACATTCTTCCCCTTTAATGAAAATGTAATCCAACTCTTCTCAACAACCAGGGTTGGGATTTATCCATATTTTCTACCCAGAGCTCTCACAAATCACCTTAAATATCATATACTGTACATCCTAATGCTACCTGAACAATTCTGTCCCATTTCCATTTGATCAAACCATTTTTTATCACCATCAATTTGAGCAGCAAAGAGTGTAACATAGCAAGTTCAATGCTCTTTGATTAATTTTCCAAACCTTGTGATCAATGTCATTGTTTGTTCTTGAGTGTTTCCTTCTCCATGAGGAGGTGAACTGTGTGGGGGTTATACCTGCTGGTGGAGCATCTCCCTCAGCTCAGACAACATGCTCTTCAGCTCCTCCATAGTGACCTGGTTTTGCTCCTCCCTGCCTCCCTGGAAACCTGTCACAGATCAGAATTAGAGATTATTTACATCAGTAATAGAACCTCAACATAAAGAGTTGTTTAATGTGAGAGTGGTAACTTTATTTCCACGTTTCATGATAACCGACCCGCTGCATGAGATGATCGGTGTCAAAGTCTTTAAATCCCAGACATCAATCAGGTTTGAGTCAAAATGTTCTCACCCAGCAGATGCACAGATTCACTGTGATCCACACTACAGTCCTGCAAAGTGGCCACGTTGTCTATTGTGTCCTCTGTCACCAGCTTGAAGTCTGTCAGTTCATTCTGACACAAAAAAAAACGATGAGAGGATGAAATGTATTTATTTATCAAGTCTATCAAGATATTGTCCATTCAGTATATAGAGTTTCTGCAGCATAATGTAGAAACACTGTAAGTCGGCTATTCACCTGTCCACTTGACTGCAGCGTCCTCAGTGCCACCATGTTAGAACCCAGTGGGAGTGACCCAAACGCAGCTGGAAGATCATCCAGAGAGTGTGCTAGTGTGCAGTCTATGTAGATGTTGAGGCGAGGTGGACCACGCTGCAGACCCCTGGCATGTAGCATCACATGGTGAATTCTGCCGTCTGCCAGGGAGGCGTGGTTGAAACTGGTTGTGCCAAATCTGCCGTCAGTCCTCAGGTAACGAAGGGTAACTAGAGATGGCAAGAAATAAAAAATGGAATGAAAGACGGTGGACAGAAAATAAAGAGTGAACAAGTTAAAATAGCTGACAGTGCCGTGTGTGGCTGTTGTATGTGTCAGATGGATAACGCACCTTTGCTTAGTTTGGCCTGCACACTGAAGTCCAGGTACTTGGTGTTGTCTTTGGGGTTGATGACACTGAAAAGAGAGGTGGGGGCCTTGTTGTGGAGCCTGAAGGAAGCGAGAAGGAAAGCCTCGTCCTGTCCTTTGCTCTTCAGCTTCCCTTGGAGCAGGTCGGGCAGGCAGTCCGGAGACGCCAGCAGGTCATAGACTGACACAGGAGAGGATTGTTAAAAATAATGTTTAGTCAGCTGTGTGGAATATTCAGCACAGCAACTGAAAACACTGGTTTTATTATAAGAGGTGCTGACTTTTTCTTGTCAGAAAGAAAAGAGACTTTTCTGAGTTTGCGTCGGCTGTGGCTTGGAGTCTACTGTCTGTTGCTTCTGCTGAGTAGTATGGTACTTTATTAAGTGTGACAGCATTTGTGCACCCGTGTGTGTGTTCATGTTTGTATCCTGCTGTGTTTTATAGAGTGGTAGATGGGAGTTGCAGAGACGAGCCGCAGTAAACTCTTTCCACTGGAACAGCCCCCACCGCCTCACACTCGGACACATGCACACTCAAAACACTTGCACACAGCCATTTGCTGAATTCAAGAATAATACACAGCGACAGGAAATTGTGTGGAAAAATGTGCGTGTAGATTCCAGGCAAATCAAGGATTTAGCACATGCACTTTGTCAGTTGTTGCTTCACCATCTCAGACTGGCCTCATTCAGGTCACACTGTGACTAGATCCTGGATTTAAAACTCTACAAACCATAAAAAGTCTATTTCGTTCCCAAAAAAATCAACAAAATTATAATTGTTATTTGTGGCTTGCAGCAGAAGACAGGTGGTTTAAGTATAAATGTTTTCAAAATGAAGATTCAAAGAGCTTCAACATGCACGGCACACAGAAACACACTGTGTCTAATGTATTCCAGAAGCATGGTGAGGAGCCAGTACTTACCGGTGCCTTCAGCTGAGACAGTGAGCAGGAGCTGTTGCAGCACCAGAGACAGAGCTGCTGCCCGGGCCCACACACACACCATCAGTGCTGCAGAGCGGGACACACCACAGCAGAAAGTGGGTTTCTGGAAAAAGATGTCGATTTTCTCCTGTGGATCAATAAAGAGAGTCTCAGGCGCAGAAGGATGGACGAGTTCTGAACTTGAAGCAAAATATCAGCAGGGGTGAGATGGTTTTTCTGGGGGACAGAGGCAAAGCAGAGGGGAGTGTTCTCGTATGCTACTGTTGTGGCAGTGGCACAGTGGGACTATTTTACTAGTCTGGGGGAGTGTCTCCCTGCTACTATTGTCTGATTAAATGATAGGTTGTACATGGTACTGGTTAAAAAAGCTGAATATACTAGTGCATTCTAGAAATAGTAAGACAGTTCATTGTCAAATAAAATATGTTGTAATTTATTCTAAAAAAAACTACTGACTACTTGATATGCTCATATATATGAGGTTTTTTTTTTATTTATGGCTCTGTTTGAGTCAAGATAAAACTTTTATTCCTTAAGTCCTTTGTGTCTACAGTCTTCTTTAATGTGATATGATATCATAAAAATGCTCTAAATCACTCTGTATATACTGAGCCAACTCAAAAAAAATGCCTGAAATGGATCTTTCCTGGTTTGCAACCGCTGCTCACAAACAGCATCAACCTGTGTCAAAGATGTGCATTTCATCTCATAGCTCACTTTCAGTAAGTCAGTTGAACGGTATAACTGTATACCAATGGTTTTAATTATAATTCAATCTGATTTAATTTGCTCTGAATGCCCCAGCAACCCTGCTCTAAATTCCATCTGTTGAAGAATGTGGGGAAGGAGAAACAGAGAGGGCTACAGACTTTCACCCTGGGAACATTTCCTGATGTCTGCTACTCATCTTAAAGTTCTCTTCAAACGGATTTCAACATCTCAACAGAGCCGTTTACCATCCCTCAGTGCATTATCACCTTTCATTGGGCTGTGTCTGGCCAAACACCTGGCAGCCTTCAGCAGTCTGACTGTCGGCTCCAGGATAGACCTCATGTTATTGCTCCTGAAAGAACAAAACACACAAAAGACTATTTAACATTGCCATCCAAATATAAATAGAGGCATATTATATCAGAATGTATGAAATCAAACAACATAGAGTTTCATTCTTGTAATTAAAATATTGTTCAGCAAGCTTTTGTTTTTCTATGACATTTTATAATTTAAGTAAAAGCAAATCAGGAACTAACCTCTAATTCATGTATATCACTAACAAGTAATAATAACAAATATTTGGCAAGAAACAGCTTGAAACAATTTTTTAGGTGCATACAGAGTATGTGAGGGTTTTGTTCTTTACAGAATAAAATATCTGAGAATAGTGAGGGGTTGTTGTAACCTACTCACCATGAAGCTCTGTAATTTTTGGGGCCAAATAAAAAAAAACTGACTTGTTTATTTAATGACCTACAGAGCAGGCATCAATTTTCTTCTGTTTATCTGCACACACAATTTGAGACTGAGAATTCCTCAATGATTTGATCTTGGATCCAGTAGAAACAGTCTGACCTCATGGTCTTTGAGTAGCTGCTCTGGAGTTTTATAAGCACTGGACCATACTTTAAGGATTTCTCATTGATGCTGTTGTACTATTTTTAGTTCTCTCTCTATAATAAAGTTGTTGTGCCTCATTCCTTTATTATTACCTCACCAAGACTTAACATTTTATGAGCCCTACGGTCAAGTAAAGTGACGATATTGAATAACAGAAGCCAAAAACGTTTATATGAATGTTTAAACATTTCATTTGATTATTCCTTAAATATAACAGTTAATCTTGGCAAGAAACATATGAACATATTTGTTTTTTCACCTGATTTGATCACGTGATTTTTACTTGATTATTTTGTATGTTTTTWTCRSAGATTTCTTCTACATGTATTTTTTTCTACTTAATTTGTTTTCTGTAAATATTTTTACCAGATTTTTCATCTTGATATCTTTTAATCAGACATTTTTTCACCTGATTGTTTCTTTCTCTCTTTTTAAACAATATTTATTCATAATATTTCTTGATTTATGATTAAATTAACTGTTTTTTTTTCATTTATTAACTTCAACTTTTCATCAGATCTTTTTACTATGATGATATTTTATAGCATATATTACATTTCTTACTATTTTCTTCATCTCTCATTTTTGATTTTTTTTCCCCTCTGGGTTTTATAATATCTCTAAATTAACATGTTTTCCACTTTATTTGATGACGTTTTTTATGCGATAAGTTTTCTTCACTTTTCTTTTCATTTGTTTTACTTCTCTTCTTTATTACTAGAGTCAATAACCCTTCACTTTAATTCCTTCGCCTGATTTTATTTTTTCATTTCTGCTGGCTCTGATGTGACAGGTACCTGATGACGTCACACGCCCCCTCCATGAGTCCAACATGGCGGCTGCCATGGAGCTGAGATGCTGGGGAGGAGACTGGGGTTTACCTTCTGTCCACACCGAGTCCCTCATAGTTCTGGTGACGTTTTCATCAACATTAATGACAATATGTCCATTATGTGTATATTTAAAACGAGCGGTTCGCTGTTCTGTGTGTCTCAGGTTAGCTTCCATGCTAACTTCTGCAGTGTGTCTCTGTGTGTCTCAGGTTAGCTTCCATGCTAACTTCTGCAGTGTGTCTCTCAGGTTAGCTTCCATGCTAACTTGTGCAGTGTATCTCTGTGTGTCTCCGGTTAGCTTCCATGCTAACTTGTGCAGTGTATCTCTGTGTGTCTCKGGTTAGCTTCCATGCTAACTTGTGCAGTGTATCTCTGTGTGTCTCAGMTTAGCTTCCATGCTAARTTGTGCAGTGTYTCTCTGTGTGTCTCAGMTTAGCTTCCATGCTAACTTGMGTCTCTGCCCCGTCGCCCTGCAGGACCATCGTGTAAATAATGTTCACAGTTGCATGTAACGTGTGTGCAGCTGTGATATAACATCTGTATGCTCTGTCCTCTGTCATGTCGCTGTGTCTGATAACAAAGCTTTAGTCCCTTCAAGGTCAGTTTACTCACAGTTTCATTTTCAGTCTTTATATATGTGAACCCAGTCTCTCGCTGGACATATATCGACAGTGATCGGTGCAGTAACCTGGTTAGAAAATGAGCAGACAGTTATTATCCTTCTATTTGTCATAGTGTTCCTCAGTGAATACATGCAGTGACAACACTTGCCACCAGGTGACGCCGCTCATGAAACGACATGCCACAGACACTCGTGATGTTTGGTTTGCGTTGGTTTATTGACAACAAGCTAATATTGATTTTAAAATGCAACATATCAGTATATATACTTTGTCAACGACAGGTCTGGACGTGTTAGATAAAAACAGGCAACAAGAAGTTAAACTTAAAGACTGAAAATGTACATCATATCAACCATCAGTATTTTCTTCACAAAGCTGACAGGATGTTCATTTGACATTTTACCTGCTAATAAACTTTTGAGAATTCTCTGGCTTGAGCTTCACCAATGTGATTTACTGCTTTTCTCTGTTTTATATGATTGTAAACTGAACTTCTTTGACTGTTGGACAAAATTAGATATTTCAAGACATTTCCTTGGCCTTCTGAAAATTGTGATTGGCAACATCAACTTGTCATTATTTGGTGTTTGTGTTTTTTGTTTCTTGCTATACACAGTGCCAAATTCCTCCTGGTAGTACTATGACCTCTGCAAACATTTCGCTGCATTACAACCTTGATACAATATAAAACCCAGCGTTGACAGAAGTATTACAGTCCCACATTCATCTGATAATGTACTCCCTGTAAAGTTGCATGCTGCATATGTTTGCATTTCGATCAGTAACTGACTTGTTAAATAATAAATGTACTGAATGTTGTTTTGTGTCTGTTCTGATTCAAGTGTGTGTTTTCTTTCAGGCATACTCAAAGTTTGCTGGGGCAAAAGTCACAGTTTCTCCTATAGACTGGACATGGAAGACTCTAACAGGTGGGCAGCAACTTCTCATAAAAGAAGACACTTTAAAACATGGTCAGGATGCCATGTGGCAATGTGGTGCACGGAGAGTTCTATGATTTTACTATAATGCAAAAGAACACACAAATACAATGCTGAATAACTTAAGCTTTGTCTTGAATATCTTTTTTTATTCAACCTGCAGCAACAGTCCCAGAGCTGCTGTGTGGAGATGCTGCAATTCAAGAACCAACACAAATACTCAACTTCCTGAGGAAACAGGTGAGAGTCCGTCCGTCACCTTGTCATCATGTCCCCAAACCCATTAAACAAAATTTGTGGCTCTACAGTTAGTCATGATTGCTCTTTTTCCAGAGGTTTAACGCAGACTTTGAGCTGACAGCCAGACAGGGAGCAGACACCATGGCGTACATCGCCCTGCTTGAAGAGAAACTGCGACCAGCTCTGGTAAAACCATCTCTCCTCTTCTTCTACTTGTTTCTGGTGAAACATATAATTAGTGAGTCATGATAATGTTTCTGTTCTGTGTCCAACAGTTGCACACATTCTGGGTGGATGCAGAAAACTACGCCAACCTGACACGGCCATGGTTTGCTTCACATTCACCGTTCCCTCTTAATTTTCTTGTCCCTTGTCGCCATGCCAACGCCGCCCTCTCCCGCATCCTTTTAACCAAAGGAGAGGCACCTCTACACAGAATCACTGAGGTTGAGGGAAAGGTAAATACTGAGGTGTCCAACTAATCAGCTTCACGTTGTGTTAACTGTGTCTTGAATATCTTTTTTCAAGACATTACTTTCAAGATACTACTCTGACTCTTTCTAACTGTGTGTGCCTCAGATCTACAGTGATGCTAAAGAGTGCCTGAACCTCCTCTCGTACAGACTGGGAACAGCAAACTACTTCTTTGACAACTCGTGAGTTGTTTAATGCATCTTTAAGACCGTGTCTGTACATCCTGAATATGTGCAATGTGGAAAACAATATATGAAAAAACTTGAAAAGAAAAAAAATTGAGATGCAAATGTTGCTTGTTTAATTAAATGTGTGGCCAGGAGTCATTTCCTTTTCCATTGAAGTATTGGTTTGGTTGTTTGATTATTGTTTACTGGTATAGGAAGAAAATAGGACACATTTTGATGTAGAGATGGAACAAGTCCTCTTTCTTTTTAAATATGGCATGAAAAATGTCATTTAGACGATATGATTAATTGTTATTTAATGATTTATGAAGCTCTTTGACAGTATCAGTCATATGAATTTGTATTTTTAGACATGTGTGTTTGTGATTGTAGGCCGACCAGTCTGGATGCCTATGTCTTTGGTTTCGTGGCTCCCCTCATTAAAGCCAATCTTCCCAGCAGCCCTTTGCAGAGCCACCTCAAACAGCTGGATAACCTCACGTGCTTCTGTGACACCATCCTCGCGGTGTACTTCAGCTCAGACCACCCTTGTAAGATCGATGTACACTCTGGAGCGATTCACATTTTGATGACAGTTTGATAAAGTCAAGACAGAGTGTTGTGGCGGATATTTACATTTGCACACAAACTACGAACTAACCTCTTCAGAATGTTCCTTCTCTTTTCATCTCTGTTTCCCTGCATGCTTGCTCTATTTTATCTTCTTTATTTTTGGCTGTGGAATCATTTAATACTTTTCCTGTTACACTTATTCTCTTCAACCTCCTTCTCCTTCTGCTGGTGTTCCCTTGCTTCATCTCTCTACAGGTCCCCCCCCACCTGTTCAGGAAACAATGGATGCAAACCTGCAGAAACTAACTCAGCTTGTAAACAAAGAGTCCAACTTAATAGAAAAGGTGCTTCTGCGTTCCCTTTCTCTTCTTTATGGGTTCATGGTTCCATTGAACTGGTCTCAGTCTCAACTGTAATCACATAAAGAGTGCATATCTCTTGAATAATTGTTGTATATCATATTTTCGCTCATGCATGTGTGCGCTGACTAAACTGTACATCCTCTTCTGTAGATGGATGATAATCTTCGCAGCAGCCCTCAGCACAAACCGCACAGACCAGACCCCAAACCCAGTCTGTTCAGTGAGAAGAACTCCTCCCCTGCCTGACCCTTCACCTTGCAGCCCCGATCCAGCCTTATGAATCCACAAGGAACAGCCCATAGATGAAAGGTGCTGCTCTGACTCAACGTCCTGAAATAAAAAAAAAATCTTACAGAACTGATCTGCAGCTTCTGCAGCATGAAAGGAAAATAACTTAATAATTAATGAAAGTATGACTATATAACTATAAAAAGACTTTTTAAGGCAGGATAATGATGAAAGTTTTCACAGATGTTCATATGAAAGAGAAGGAAAGTGCTTGTGTGAGGTCTTTAAAAAGGTTTAGTGCATGTATGTGGTAAAGATGGAATGCTATGAAGTGGTGCTCAATGAGAAAGACACAGACAACTGAGGGGGAAAAGAAATCTACTAAGAGTTGAATATTGAGAACACTAAAATTGAAATTCCTAAGTTAAACAGACATTGGTTGCTGAGTAGAATGGGACTAGAGCACCTTATTTCACCATTGAAGTAATCTAAAGTTACTCTAGTTTATAGATCTGTGTTTTATCATGCAGGATGAGCAGACATGAATCCTAATATCTACTGTAAAATCTTCTGCACTGTTAATACGAATAGCATTTGAAGTAGATGATAATGTACAGTATGTATGCAGTCAGACTATAGGAATAACCAATTACCTGTATAGTTGTAAATACTTCCGAGTGTCCTCTAATGGAGTCGATCAGCTTGTTCACAATCATTGCTTAAGCCTCGAACTCCAGATAATATCCGGATGTTATCTGGACTTTGCTTTCACATATAAGGAACGCAGCAGGAGATTGACCAGGTCAGGTGCGTTCAGAAAACATTAAAATCTCCACAGTGTTTAGGTGAGCGTTGGCTTCTGGGTAGATCACACGGGGACGTAATATATAAATTCTGCTGCATGTTTTTGTTTATGTCACTTTAATCTGCCCTTAATATCAAAAGCTCTTGAATCCCGTTGTCTTTCCAAGTTGACATGCCTCTTTATCATCCTGAGATTTTTCTATTCTTTTACCTTAGTTCAGTGACGCGACTGTCCCGTGTTCACTTGCGCGTGCTCAATTCTCCGGACATTTTCCTACTGCATTCTCACACTGGCTCACTCGGACATTCTCCGGATATTTAACTCGAGAGGCTGGCAGGAAAAACTCCAGAGAATGTCCGGAGCAACTGTCTCGGATATTTGTTTTTCACATACAGCCCCTCTGGATAATTTCCAGAGAATATGTGGAGTTTAGTGCAAGTCTGAACGCAGCTTTAGATACACTGAGGCAATAGAAGGGCTTTACACACTGTATAAATGTGTGTGTGTGTGTGTGTGTGTGTGTGTGTGTGTGTGTGTGTGTGTGTGTGTGTGTGTGAGAAGAACCACTGTGTCTTTCATGTTTATTGTGTGAGATATTCTGAGTCATTAACAATCCACTCACTTCTGTTGTTGCCATCACTTTTTTAAGACCATCTTTTAAGCTTTTTTTATTTTGCTGTGTTATTATTTGTTACTCCTGTTTAACAAACATTCTGCTTGAAATGAAGCGTCTGTCCCGTTTGGGAAAGTCTCATTAGCTGCCTTCTGTTTTCCCTCATTATTACCGTCTGATTATCTAGATTGGACTGTACAATGAGTTGCCTGTTTTTCTTTGCATGTCATGTTCCTACATGTCCTCGCAGCTCATATCATTACTGAGTCTACTCTGTGCGTGTTTCCTTCATGATCTGTGTCCCAGTTTTAAATGTTGATACTCAAAAAGATATTTGGCTTTTGCAGCTTCTCGAAAATACTTCATGGACACGTTCCCCTCTAAAGCTCCATATTCTGAAACATAAGAGTTACATTAGTGTGTGATTGTGTGCGTTTGTGTGTGCGTGCATGCATGCATTGGTTGCAGAGGCTTGTGAGGATCGTATGGGTGCAGTGTGCCTTCATGACTGCTGGTGTCAACATGCTGACCTTCACTGTTTTGATACATTGCCATAAGTTATATCTTTGTCATTTCCGCTGCCGTTGTTCATAATCTGTTCATGGATGGAAACCATATCATATTATTATCTTATTAAAAATATAATATAAAGTGAACTTTTGTCTCTAGATTTTTCTATTAGAAGAGTTAACATCTTCTAACTAAGCCAGTGCATCATCAAGCCGTGTTATTGGCTGACCTGTTTTTCCAGTAATAATTACAAATGATTTCACTGTAATCCACTGTGCTGCTGTGATTGTGTGATCATGTGTTTAGATGTTTGGGAAGATAGAGCTCTCTTTGTCTGCTTCTGGCCTTAGACGTGGAAAAAATCAGATAATGTTCACGTCATAGGTCATGTGTGGGAGAGACTCAAACGCCTTTTGTTTGGTTTTGTATTCAGTGCTTTTGGACCTGTTGCAGTGATTTTATTTCATTGTTTTTCTCCGGGTTAGAAATGTTTTGTGAAATGAATCATATCCAATGGTGTCACAGAAGTAGTGTTAAGAAGCAAAATGGAGCCTTCTTGAATTCAGCAGTACAAAGTAAAGTGTTCCAGTTTCTCTGCTCAGTGTGATCCGCTGCAGTCGATTCCAGTAAAATGAGGCTGTCACTTTTCAAAGAGCTCCCCTCCCAGGTCCAGCTGAGCACAGATCTGTTCTGGAGGCCAGCAGCGGTTCCCTGAAGGTCTGCATGTGTTTGCCCTCCGCTTCCTCTTCTACTCACTCTCCCTCCCGTCTCCGTTTCCCCAGAACTAAGGAAAGGTGACCAACAAAAAAAAGGGGGGGTTGAGTGTCTGGAAAAATAGTAACATAATAATTTAATAATGACACATCTGCTGGAAAAACAAGCTTTGTCATGCAAGGTGTTCAAATCACAAATCCTCTGTAGCTGTAGGTCATAGAAAGGTATTTAAAGGTTTAAATAAATTATAGATTCTGCAGAGAATGGTAGTAAAAGTACAGTATATTTGTCTGAGGTATAATTCAAGATAAAACAATCTTGTACACGTTTTTTTTACATTTAATTTGTGTATCACAGTTTTTTTGGTTGATAATGTTCCTTATATTACATTGCAGTAAGTGTTTAGGGTAATGTAAAGTACATGGCAATAGTGTTTTCAAAGGAAAGTTAAAACACTTAGAAATACTTTCCTAACAATTTCAAGCCATTTCAAAACTCTATTGACAATCTCTTATTTTTGCTCTGGTCTCAATATCACAGCAAATGGAGTCCTGAGGCCATCTGGTGGTGATAGTGAGTACAACAAGTGTTGAGCTGAGTCAATTATCAGTCCAGTTGTGCAATTAGAAAAAAAAATCATGTTCATTCAGCTCAGGGTTAAAAAATCAGTTTTACAGGAAAGAGGGAGTAAAGCAGTTGATCTGTGTTTGCCATCAGATGCATATAAACACAAATAAAAGGAACTGATCTGTTTACAAAGGTTATTTACACAAAATAGACCTATTCGCAATAAGAAACACAGTTCAAAAAGTGCTACAGTATCATTTTGGAGATATGGCTGACAAAAGACTTTCACAACGTGTATTTGACTTCAATGTATCGGAGCCTTCACTCAAAGTGTCAGATCAGGAAGGCAACTGAGAGTATATTAAATCAACAAAACACCAGTACAAAAACATACGCATACTTTACGGTCATAATTACAAAATGATCCACAACACAATTCACTTCTCCCTCCACAACAAAATACAAGACGTTCACCAGTGAAAATGTCGAGGCACTCAAACTGAAATCCAGTTGTGTTGCACAGTTGTTTCTGTTTTTGATATTTACAAAATGACGGTTTAATTTCTGCTGGATATCATTTGTGTTTGATCTAAGGCTGGGCAAGATCATAATTATCACAAGGTCATTTTTATAGCAAAATGGCAAATATATAGCTATATATTGACTATGCATTGTGCAGGAACAGTGAAGATGTATAACACAGAATTTATTTACCTCAGTGTGTTTGTGATCCTCTGTCCATACAGAAGGGTTAAGACCACAATAGCTCAGAAATAGCAGAAATCCGTCTTTAAACTTAAGAAATAATAATGTAACATTTATTGTGATGATTATCCATATCCACTGATATGAGCATTTTTATCTTGATATCATTTTTGACCATATCGTTCAGCCCTAGCCCTGAGCTCTATGGTGATCAAGTTCCTTTATAAAGAAAACAACCAATCAATGAGGTTTCTTTAAATGAATAGGATCCAGTTGTGTCTTCTTGCTTTACTGTGGATTTAACTATATTTTTTTGTCCTGTCAGACCTGTGCTCATTTCTGTAGAATACTGGTCATTGAAATCATCATAAAGTGATATTGTCCATCATGGAGTGTAAACTCTTCAGGGTGTGAGGTGAGTGGCGGAGCTAACTGTCCTTGGTAAACTCCGGAACCTCCAGCACCATCCTGGCTTCCAGACTGCCCGGCATTTCCAGGGCCAGAGCGGGGTGGCACGGCTGGGTGAAGCACTGACTGAACGTCCCCAACAACTGACCACTGAGGACGTTGTAGAAAGACAGACGACCAAGCTGGTAATCCAAGAGGGTACCTACTCGCTCAGGCATATCAATCACGAACACACTGGACTGAACCTGGTTGTGGAGCAGCTGATACCTGCAACTGTGAAGACAGACAGGTGGAAGATTTAGAGTGAAACAATGATGGGAAGTATCTTTATATGAGAGGAGGTGTATGCATACCCTGAGGGTGTAGGGATACACTGCAAACACCACGACTGGCTGTTTTCCCCCAGTGAGCTGTCTCTATTGGCTGCGCTGTACGCCACTCCAAGTCTGTAAGCTGTGCTTCCTGAGACAATCGTCTCCCAGTAGTGCCGCCCTCGTGCTGACAACAACTCACCCAGGATGGATGGACACCTCGACAAAAGAAAAGCACACACAGACTAAAGGTTTGCACATGTTCCTGAAACATTTCCTCAAGTAGGAGGTGATAGAAACTGTGTTAAAGCCTCAGAGTGTAAAATTTAGTGACATCTAGTGGTGAAGTTGCATGTTGCAGCTGAATCCTTCTCATCAAACTTGAAAAAGAACCTATGGGTCCTTCAGTTGTCATAAAAACTCAAAAGATGTTTAGTTTGTCCAGTTTGGATGACTGTAAAAAAAACATGGCTGCCTCCGATGTAAATTTAAAGTATTTAAATATAAAGGGCTCATTCTAGGGTAAAGAAAACAACAATTCGTACATTTAACATGAAACACATTAGTGAAAACATTACTAGCACTATTTTATATTCAATTTCTGCCAATAGATCCCTTTCACCTACATCTTACACACTGGACCTTTAAACTCACTGTTTGTCGGTGAGTGGTGTGTTCTGGGAATAGTGCAGAGTGGTCTGGTCCACTGAAAGCTCCAACGCAGGGTGAGCCGAGGCCTTCAGCAGGTGGAACCTCGTACCTGCAAGAAGGAACAAGTAACAGGAGAGATTTTTAAAAACCAAAACAGCAACAAAAACAGTTAAAGTGTGTGGGTTTTTTTTTTTTACCTTTAGTGGAGATGAGTGCAGCCTCGCTCTGTTCGCTGGCTCCAGCCTCATTCACAGCTTTGATGTAAAACAGATAATTCTCATTGGGCTGCAGAAGAACCCTCTGTTCACAGATCCGGATACCTGAGATGGTTCTGGGAACACACACACAACAAAAATTTAATTTTTTAATGTATCTGTACTAAAGAGAGTAGATTTATTTTCAGTGACTTTCACTTTGACTCCACTATTTGTATCATCAAATATCTGTATTGTCTACAATATATTTTAACAAAGCGTTGCGTCAATTGTTCTTATTGTGTTTTATATTTTTAAGAGTAATCGATAACGAGACGAATTGATCCACCGATCCAGTCAGAGCGGCCAAGGAACATTAGACCCCGCCTCCTGCAGCAGCAGCATCTCTGGTGAAGAATCAGTGGATTCAGAGGTCAGCAATGAGAGTCAGACATAATGCTGTTGCATTTGGGAAAATTTTTAATTAAATTTAAAAGCAAGTACTTACTTACTTTTAGTGGAAAAGTTAATGTACTTTTACTTGAGTACATTTTTGTCAATTCAATTGTACTTTTACTTTAGTAAATGTTGAAGTACCTACTCCACCACTGGCATGGCTTGACGTCTTATTTACAACTTATTATCACGTTATTTTCCAAGTTAAAATTAAAAAAAATCATTGCATTTTCATGCAAATTTAATATATTCTGTTCACATTGTGGACATATTTTTTATATTTCCTTATTTTGCATGTTCACCTATTCATGACTTACACTGATGTTTCTTTCATCTTTGCAGTTGTAACAAAGCAAATTTCCCCAGTAATGAAATCATCTTATCTTATCTACATCTTTTTCCTGATTCTACTACCTATCAGATTAAAACAATCACCTTGACTGGCTACAAACAAATGATCCAGGTCAGATCATGCATCGTCTCAGAGACGCACCTGAGCCCCTCTCCCTCCAGTTCATACTGACGGCAGTACTCCAGAGTGTAACTCTGTCCGGGGGTCTGCTTCTGCCACCGCAGCGTGGCTGAGTCCCACATGATAGTACAGCACTCTGTGTCAATCACTGGCACCGATGGAGCTGCCAGAGGGAGAACAAGGTATCTGAGACAATAGACAAAGTGCTGCTGCCTGGATAGATATAGTTATGATATAGTCATGCAACTGAAATCTAAACTCTAAATTAAAAAGTTCAAGTTGTTGTGCACTGACCGGTTGTGAAAATGAGTCTCTCGCTTGGCAGAGAGCAGCCTGTGTAGTTGACAGCCATCACCCACACCTTGTATGTCTTATCAGGCTCCAGCTCCTCCAAGACACAGTAACTCTCCTTCACTGTCACACGGTACTCCTCTGACACAGCTGTGGATAACAGCAATATAAATATGAGGCACTATGTCAACAAAACTATACTCACTACAAATACTGGAAAATAATACAATATAATGATACAATAACATTTATAAAGAACAAAAAATCATTTTGTCTCAGAATAGATCATCATTTGAGATCATACCATGGTGCCAAGTTCAAGAGCTGTAAGTCTAAAGTTGATTAAAAACACTTTCCCACTATTTTCTAGTTTAAATAATAATAATAATATTTAACAAGGTGCTTCACAAAATAAATATAGGTGCAAAGTTAGCCAATCATAGAAGCCAGACCATACACCAGATAAAAGAACAACATTAACACAATAAAATATATTTTTAAAAAACACACACACACAAATGTAAACTATACAAATGCTAGTCCTGAAGTATTTACCTCCATGGGGATCCTCCATGCAGTAGACCTGGAAGCAGTCTATGATATCTCCAGGGTTGACCTTCCAGTAAACAGTGACACTGGTGCTGGTGGCTGAGCCTGGCTCCTGGGGCTGCAGCGTGGGCCTCTGAGGCACTGAAGCACAGAACAGAACACACATGCACATGACACTAGACTTCACATGGACTCACACGTATCTGTAAAGAGAGGTCTGTATTAGACAGACCTGGGATTCCCTTGCGATGTGCGACGTGTGAGCTGGAGATGTTGCCCTTGGCGTAGTCCTCAAACACCAGCAGACCCTTGGGACCCAGCTCCAGTGACATGGCTGAGTCTAGAGCTGCCTCGAGCCTAAACACACAACCACAACGGTTAACCTTTGGCTACAATCACAAGCAAATGTCTAAATCCGTCTTTGCTGTAGGCCCATAATTCAATTATCAGTAAGGTTATATCTCTGTGGGTCAGGCAGCATGCTGCACTGGTTATCACTTTCTGGTGACGTGTTATAATTTAGTTGTTAGGAAAACCACACTAGCTCACACTCCATTCACGGAAATTACCTTGCACGAATGTCCTCAGGTGACTAATAGGAGAGCAGATCAAAGAGGGATTTATCAGAAGTGTGACTCAAACCCTGATCACTAATCGCTGTCCAATCACAACACCAATGATCTGATCAATCTTCAGGACTCACCCGTGCGTCAGTCTCAGCCTCTCTGGCCGTGGTCTCCAGCGTGGCCTTGGTGGTGTCGATGCTCTCCTGGAATGACACTATCTGGTCGTACAACTGCTCCAGCTTGGCCTTCTTCTCCTCCTCCATGCTGACAGACATGTTGTTGTACTGCTCCATCACCAGAGCCATCATCTCCTCGTTCTGTGCCTGCATCGCCACCTCGCCATCCATACACTGGTCCTGGTGGAGAGGACAGTGAGCAAGACCATGAAACACTTGGTAAAATGATGTCCTGCTGAAAAGTCATGCTGAACAATGAATATTAATCTGATCGTGCAGGAGAGAATTAAATGTGTGTGACGTTAAGTGAACATGCTTCACCTCTACAGTGTTGTAGGCCAGCTCCAGTTCAGACACCAAGTCCTCAATGTTCTCAGATCGACCCTGCAGCTCTGAGATCCAGTCACTCAGCTTCTCCTGTTATACAAACACGTAGACGTAAATCACCACGTATATATGTACACACACACACATATATATATATATAGAGAGAGAGAGAGAGAGAGAGAGCTTTAGTTTTGACAATAAAGCTGCGCCAAACTTAGTCTGTGTCTGTAGTAAAACCTTTCTCTTCTAAGGATTAAATTCATCCCATCATTTGCTTCTGTAACGAATTTTAGAAAGGCAAAGTGATTGATGTGTGGGAGATGGAGTCTCCTTCCTACTGTTGGTATTTCGACTGATGACACAGGTTAATCTTCAGCAGATCACTCTCTAATCCTCGTAAAGCTGACTGCTCTCTCACTAAGAGTGTGAAAGTGTGTGTGTAGAGGAGGGTGTGCGGGCGTACTTGCAGACATGTATGTCTGAAGACGTATCGGAGTGTATAGCTCAGAGAACTGGACTGGACACAGGTTTGCTAAGTTGTTTTAGTAAACTTGTCACCATCGATTTTCCGCTCGGTGTAGTATCTGAGTGAGGTCAGCCTTGTATCACAGCTTTGATCTGCCTCTTATTTACAGTTTACAGGCTGTCAGTGGTTCTTATAAATATCATGCAGGCACCAGACCAGGTTTAAATTTCATCTGGAACTGACATCTGATCTTTCTCAGTTTGGTCCAGCTTTCCCTCCGTTTAGATGCCACATATTGTTTATCAAATGTTGTCTAATACCTCCTCGTTTTATATAACTGAATATTTTCTCTGCTGATGCGTCTTGTAACAAACTGAGGAGCTTTCTCTAATTGTAATCTGACTGTAAATTTGCCCATGAACCTTCAGCTTTTTGAAAACTAAGATGTAAAACTAAGAAAAATAAGGTGTAATAATGTCTTAAATATTTGAAATGAGAATGTGGCTGACCCTTAGCTGACCCTGAGGAACACCAGTGTGAGAAACGTGTGTGTGTGTGTGTGTGTGTGTGTGGGAACAGATCACATCTCAGTCTCTGCTTGATGATGACACACTGGATCTTTCCACCGATCAGAGTGGAGCATTACATCACAACAATTCAATGTGCTTGGCTGCAGCCTGAGAGCAGTCTGAGAGCACGCAACATTGCCAGCATGAGTGGAAAAGTTATAGCCGACTAATTTAGGACCAGTTTATTATCTGATGATCCAAACCAATTCCAGTAAAGAGCGTGATGATCATAAATGTGTGTTGTAATAATTCTGGTAAAGTGAATGAGCTACTATTTGATTACAGCCTGCAGTAGGTTATGGAAACTGCTGCTGTGACGTTTCAGCCACGACCTGCTGAAGCACTCAAACGTCTGGGAGATGCTGTGACCCTCTGAGGCCACTACTAATATTTTGTATGTTTACTTAGCTTGATATATTTGTGTAGTATTAGTAAATATATCAGTTGTTAAAATTGAAGATATATAAATTAACAAATAAGACAGCTGATGGCAAATAAAGTTCACAAGACAGACAGGTCATAATTTGAAATACTTGAATTATTATTATTTCAGAAAACAATTATAAATATTGTCCATTACTGCAATTCCCTTTTTCAGCCTCTGTCTGTAACACTTGGTTTTAGCTGATTGGTTCGCTGGCCCATTCTGTGGTTGGTCAACTGCTCCTGGCACATGTAGGAAATTCAGCCTCCGCTCTACCTTTGCCTGTCTTTGTCAGAGGAGCCTGACTAACCACTAGGAGCACATTATGCAAATGTAGCAAACATAATGTTTAAAAACCTGTACAACTGTACATTTAAAACATCTTATATACAGAACACAACATGTGCACTATATATCTTTTGTACTCTACCTTGATTTCCTCATACGCTTTGTCCACTGTTGTCAGCTCATGGCTCTGATGTTTCCCTGACTCACAGTCGTCCTCTGACAGCAGACATCCACAGGTGAGACAGAACCAGTCCATCCCCCGCAGCTCAGCAGCCAGTCGGGCCTGATTCTCCTCCTCTGCATCGATGATGTCATAGTCAGCTTCGATCAGCTCTTCTTCTGGGGACACTTTCTCCTCCTCCATCTCCATCTCCACATCCCTCCTCTCCTCTCTGCTCTGGCCAGACTCAGGCCTGGATTCCTCTGCATCTCTCTGTGTTTCAGATTCAGGCATCTCCTCTGCATCCTGTTTAGAAATCACCTCATATTCCAGCTCCTCTGCAGGAGCTTCTGGAGCCTCTTCCACCACCTCATCTTGCTCCATCTTTTGTCCGGGATCCTCTCTGTGCAGATCAACATCTGGAGCTACATCCTGGTTTATAATGATTGCTTCTAGGGCATCTGCCGCCTGGTTCACCTCAGCTTTCAGTTCAACATCTGGTTCTTCTGGTAGTATATCCTCTCCCTGCAGCCCAGATAAATCCTCCTGGGGAGTAAAGCTCCTCAGAGGAGAAAAGACACCCTCGTCTTCATCTACGTCCTCCTCTGTTTTCATCTCCTCCGTGTCGACCTCCTCCACAGGAGCAGGTGGTGAGTACACCCTGCCTACATCATTTTCAAGTGGTTCTTCTACCTTTTCATGGACTTCTGGTTCTAATTCCAACTGAGTGTCCATCTTTGTTTCTTTGGTCGGCTCTGGTGCATCTTCAGATGCTACAAGATGCTCATATACACTATCAGATTCAGGGAGAGCTTGTGCATCACTTGTGGTCTTGTCTGACCACTGACTGATGTCAATGTCCATCTCTACAGCTTGTCCTTTGGGGACGAGGAGGATCAACTCATCATCTACATTCACCATGTCTTGGAGCACAGTCCCAGTGTCGTCTGTGGGTGTTTTAGCTTTGACTTCAGTCATTGAATCATCTGGTTGAGGCTGCGGAGCTTCAAAGATTTCATGGTGTTTCTTGTCTGAATCTGTCTTTACTTCCTCCAGGATCACAGGTTCGACTTCTTCGCTTGAAATCTTGGTTTTAACCTCTTGATGAGCTTCAGCAATAAATTCCTGCGACTGGCTCTCAGCTGCAGTCTCCCCCACTGCTGTTTGAACATCTGTTGCATCATCACGTGTTGCCTCCTGAAGATCAATCTGAACCTGGGTTTGAATCTCTTTTTCATTCACTGCTGTTTCAGTTACCTCCACGACTGCTTGCACTACACTATCGCAGTCGGTGATGACTTCAACGGGTCCAGCATCCTCAGGAATGTCGTCTGTTTCCTTATACAGTGATGTTTCAGCTGATGTCTTCGTTTCACCTAAGGTTTCAGTCGAAGTGATCATTTCTTCTTCGACCACGACCCCTGGTTTGGCCTCAGTCGCTGTTTTTTCATAAGCAGAATCCATCTTGGTATCAGCAGCTGCGTCTTCAGGCAAACTGGTTTCACTGGTTTCAGTTTGAATTTCTGACTGAATGTCCATCTTTGGCACTTCGTTGATTTCAGGTGCTGTCTCGTCTGTGGCCTTCACAAGACCTTCAGACATTTTGTCCACCTCTTCTTGTGTCTGACACGGTCGCTTGGTTTCATTCAAGGTTTGCTCACTTTTTCTGTGCTCTTCTCTCTGATGCTCCTCACTCTCTAATTCTTTTTGCTCTACTTTGCTCTCCACCTCTTGAATTTCAGGAAGTGGTCCATCAGTGCTGCTACTCAGGGGCTCGGCCTGGTCTCTTTTTACCTCTTGTGTCATTTCCTTATCCTCTGTCAGTTTAAACCCCTGAACTGATTCTTCTGAGGCTTCTTCTCCATCCTGCTCTCCAGTCAGCAGTGAGAGTTTCTCTCCTTCGCTTTTCTCCTCAAAAGTTGCTGATTGCACATCATTGCTCCTGTCTCCAGCACTTACCACCTGTATCTTCGGTTCCTCTGTCTTTGTCTTGTGTCCTTCTTCTTCTTCTTCTTCGACCGTCCTTGTTAGACACCCTGTCGTCTCAAACTTACTACTTGACCACATCATCCTCCCCTCCCTCTTGTCCCTCACAGACTCAGGTTGAGCCTCCACTGTGGAAGTTTCATCCTTCAAAATAAACTTCTCCAGGTAGCCGTCTGCCTCGTCTGAATCCGAGAAACGTCTCTTGTAACACTTCTCCGATGTGACACTCTCTGCCTCTGAGCATTCCTCGTCACTCCTCTGCCGCTGGCCTACAGCGTCCTCGTAGAGGTCAGAGTACATGAAGGACATGGCGGTGGGCTCCTCCAGAAGGATGGGATCGATGATCTTCGGGGGTCCAGGGGAGATATAGATGGGCGTGAGGGTGGTCTCTTCGCTCCCAAACAACACCAAACCACCCTCCTTCATTGTTCTCTGGCTCTCTCGTCTCTTCCTCATTCTAGCTCCTCCATCTGCCTCGTCGTCGTCCTTCCGCTGCAGTGCATCAGAAGGAGCTCCTTCTCCATAGAAGACCTGATCCAGGTGTTCTCCGACTAAATCCACATCTGTAACAAAAACAAAAGAGTCTTCTGATGCAGAGGGGCTGTCTGTGGCCATCTCCTTTGCAGGGGTTTGCTCCTCTGCCTGGGGTTTCACTGGAGGCTGTTGTTTCCCCTGCTGCAGCTCTGGAACTTGTTCTGCAGGAACTGCATGATCCAAAAGGGTAAACGTCTCAAAGTAGTCAATGTCATTGGTGCTCTCTTTCTGTGTGGCTGTGTGTCCAGCTTCTGTGTCTGCTGATGGCTGAGAAGAGTCCTGTTTCAAGGGCAGAGGAGAGAAAAACAAATCAGAACTTCGTAATGTTTAAATCTCCAAATAAACATAAATAAAATCTTATAGGATAAATGAATGTATGTTAATGGTAGGACTAGCATTAGAAATGAGATATCCCATCATAATAATTGTTCAAATCAATCAGATATGTACCTCTTGGTGATCCAGTATTTCCCCCTCCACTGGCAGGACGTGATTTGATGTCCAGTCATTGTGGTTTCTGGACTTGATCTTTGGAGTCTGGTCCAGATAAGACAAATTGTCCTCAAGCTCCGTGCTCTCCTCCTCATCCACAGTAGGAAGTTTAGAAGGGACTCTGATGTTGAGAATCTCATAACCCTCAGAAATCAAACTAAACAGTTGCTGATCTTTGTTTTTAATTTCCTCCAGGTCTGGCTCTCTTTCGGTTTTCTCCTCTTTGACGTTGGGGAGAGAGACCTCCATCATCTCCGGTCGCTCCACTCCCAGAGCCGAGGCGGATCTGGAACTGCCAGGTCGGCTAAATCTGTCCCCTAGTCTGCTGATCCTCCCTCCGGACCTTGTCCTCCTGCGGACTATTTTCTCCTCATCGAAGACGATGGTGATCTTCCCCGCGGCTCCAGAGCCATCCATGCTGTAGGCTTCAGAGATGGAGCTCGTCTCAGAGGCCCAGGGAGTAGAGCAGCGGCTGGAGGCTGTCTCCCAAACGATTCCACTGTCCTCACTCTGCACTGTAACCATGGAGAATGATTGATCCACCATCAGGCACTGCAGTTGGGGCTTCACCGACTGGTCCTGGACAACCTCTCGCAGACTGAAGTAGTGAGGAATGGAACAGAGTTAGAGGAAGGAGAGATCAGGCTGTTTGTGCTATTCACTAGAGGAGGAAGGGGGATGACTTAACACTCTGAGTGCAAGAGGAGATCCTCCTGGCACGGCTCTTGGAAATGCAAGCAGAGAACAAACCAATGAATCAAATCAAAACATATCTGAGCAGCATGTGCCCTAATTCATGTTTTGCCGCACTGAGGCGAATCAGAAAGATCTAAGCTGACAACACCATAACGCCCGCTGATCTTTTCTCAAGGCGATTACTTGACACGTAAATCTTAAGCATTGGACCACTTGTCCCAGACCAATGTGAGGGATGAGCTGAAAAAATAAGGAAGAAATGCGTTGTGAGATGTCCCCTCCTGCTATGAATACAGCTTGGTTTGTGGAGGGGGGTTACAGCAAGGTGACATCCCAAAGCGTCACTCATGTAACATTAGAGAAGAGATGCCTGGATTTCTCAAATACATCCAACATATCGGTGTCTTCTACTATTTAAGACATGTCCCGGATAGCTACAGCACTAAGTATGAAACACGATAAATGAGATGTAAGATATGGGATGGCGAATATATCAAATAGTCAAATTGAGCTACCTGCAGTGCCTCGCTCACAATTCCTGCTCTGAACTGAATCACAGATGGTCATATTAAGTATTGAGTACTCTTTGTGCAACATGGGTCTCATTCTCCATAAAAAGAAAACACAAGGCCACAAACAAGTGGTTCCTCCACTCTAAGACTCCATTCAATGTCATGGTCTCCCAGCAGAAAGACACCACTTCACCCAAACTCATCCACAATTGAAATGATTCAGGGTGTAAAGTCCAGATAAGTGAGTGAAGCACCTGTTCTGCAGCTCCTCCATCTCGTCTTCATCGTCCTGACTGACGGCCTCGGAGGCTTCAGACTGAAGCTCCTGTAGCTCTGTCATCTCTGGTTCCAGACTCTCACACTCCTCCATCTTGTTAATGTCCTCCCAGCTCTTGCACTCTGCAGTTCCCAATGCTGTTTTTCTCTCTTTTCTTTTTCAGTGTCGTCTTGACGTTTTCAGCTTCTCTGAATTGGGAAGAGTTGCTCTGCCTGTTTGTGTCATTCTAAGTTGGGAGCTGTCCATCTGACTCAGCGAGGGACGGAAATAGACGTGAGTGGGGGAATGAACAGAGGGGAGTGGGGTTAGAGAGTGGGTAGGTTTCACCTGCTGTTGAGTTAAGCGCAAAAACACACCAAATCCAAGAAGTCAGACTTTAAACATATTATAAAAATAATGTTATAGATCTGAGAGAATCATCACCATGAAGTTTGAGGCGTTCGCCAGAGTCCAAAAGCTGACTGAGGGTATGTGCCTTTAAGATCAAAATCCCCTTCTGCAAGTTAAATATAGGTCATGTGCTGAAACAGTACCCCCCTGCATGGTCCCCCTGCCCCCCCTTGCTGCTGGTGGTAATGCTAAAGAGGTCCACGCTCATGCCCCCCCCAACACCATGCAACCTGTGATGCACTGAATGACGTTACAGCTCCAAGTACATTAAATCAAGACACCAAATTTACATCTGCATCAGTTCATCTGTGAATTTAAGGGAAGATTTATTCCAAATTTGAAAGAATTCTCTTGAGATGTTCTAAAGATCATGCATTCACAAGGCAAAAACATTTTTGTAAAAGTCACAGTGAGCTTAACCTTTGACTTCCAAAATCTTATCAGCTCATCTTTGAGTCCTCAGAAAGGTTTGTATTGGATTTGAGTAAAATCCCCTCGAGTTATCATGGTCACAAGAATGGGACGTACGGACAGACAACGTGAAAACACAACGCCTCATAGAGGTCAAACATGTGAAGTGAATAATCATACGTTATGTTCGGAAATTTTATTTTTTTTAAACAAACATTTGAAAGTCAGCAATGTACAAAAGAGCTGAGGAACAATATAAACTATGGACAAAAAAAACAAAGTTACACTCACAAGTGTGAATTCTGTAAATAACGTGTTTTAAGTGAACTGAAGATTAGCGAATAACAAATCTGTATTTGTCCCAATAACTCAAGCAGATCTTAGGTCTACAATGACACAGTATGTTTGTTACCAGTCATGTAAAATGTGAGTGTGGCATCATTGCAGCCCTAAAATGATCACCTCAAAATCATCCAAACCTAAATTTAACTTTAAAAGTTCAGAAACAGAAAGTAGGTGATGATCTGAAAAAGAGATGGTATTCAATGCAGCGGTAGAAAAAGGGCACATTTCATGTTTAAGCCCATAATCACTTAAAAACTGACCAAGAAAAAGGCTCTGATGGTACAAGTAGATCCCAAGAGGATATTCATACTGTATATTTGACATGTATATGTCAGAAACAACATTTCTCATGAGACTAAGCAGTACACCACACAGTTGATTCCATTTAAGCTAACTTCAGACATGAGCAGTTTGCAAGTGTTTTTTGCATCTTCTCATTCTTTGTTAACAAAATTAATTTCATCCCAGGAATTCCATGTGCACTGGGAACAAGTGGTGTAGCAGAAATTACCATCTCATGGAACATGAACCATTATTATCCTGCTTCAGTGCATCTCTCTGTCACCAGTTTAGGTTTTGACTTCAGAGCTCTCTGGTGTCACTCTACAAATATTGTAAATTATTTACACTCTTGTTTTCTGGAATATTACGTAACACATTTAGGAAAGGCAGCAAAATAATTGACAGTGCAGTATATTCAACAGGTGATGCCACAGGACACACTGTACATGTCCGATATGAAAACAGCCAGAACTTTCAGGGTCCCAGAAACATTTTGGGCTGTGAGATGCAGAGGCAGCACGGCTCCTTGCTCAGCACATCCCGAAGGTCTGTCATCATTTCTGGGCACAAGGTCGTGTTGAGGTAGAAGACTCCACTCAGCTCGTCTAATTAGAGGAATCCCTCATCTCCTGCCTGCAGACTCCATATTAATGATGGCGCTGGCTGGGAGGATCGAGTTCAGGTCCTTCCTCTCTTGGAGTATCCGAAATGACTGCGCAGACAGAGAGATGAGAAACAGGAGGATTATGAAGAACTTATAGCTAGATCAAGCTGCTAATGAAAAGGAAATAAAATATAAAGAGCACAGTTATCTGGCCTAACATGTACCTCTGCAAACTGAGCTTTGATGGTGTCAAACTTGAACTTCTCATGGACTGCTCTGGCAACGTTATTTCTTTCAAATGGCTCTGAAACACAATAAATCACCATCGATCAGATTAAATAAGAGTTTCGTACACTGAGGCTACAGTTATTATTAAGTGGAGGTGGCAGCAGTGTTTTACATCCACTGAAATGTTTACCTTCCACACATATGTATTTGTTTCTCCATTCTTTGGAGTTGTTCTTGGGGAAAGCTCTGGCCTCTCTAATAGAGATCACCTGCTTGTCCCACCTGCAAGGCACAGAAAAGGGAAGACATTTAGCACTGGAAATAAACACAACCACCAAGGTCCTCATAACCACATCAGTGACTTTGCAGGTTGTAGCTAATCATCTACAAAACATGCACATTCCACTTTGACCAAGCCAAAGTTTTTAGATTCTAGGCACCTGTTAGTTTCGGTTCAGGATGAACAGAAACTTCCTGGGAGACAATAACAATATCAAGTAGCAACTCTTTTTTTTTTTTTTCAAACATTTTTTTTTTACATTGTTACATGATCGTCATTATATGGAAGGAAACAAAGGCTTTTCATTCTCACTTAATCATACAATTACTAGAAGAAAGTTGACACAATTGTTTTCTCTTCAACCGTTTTTGTCTGTCTAATGTCTGTCTTCAATTTTGAAGTCTTAAATGATGGAGCTTCATTGTACCTTGAATTTGATGCATTTAAAAGACATTTTGTATTGTACACAAAATAGGATCCAATTAAACATTTACATAGTTCAGTCTTCTCAGGTATAATTGTTTAGTTTATGGATTTGGTAACATCAAGGGAAAACTAGATTACTGAAATGGCTGTCGCAGAGGCATAAAAACATAATCACTCATCAGGTTTGAGTGTTTGATAGTGTAAATTGAAAAAACAAGTGCGTGTTTTTGTGGTGACTTCTAGTTCAACTTCTTGACTGCAGCATGACGTGGTAACACACATTCTGCAAACACAGTGGCCATGGCATGTCATGTTAGTGCTGTGTAAGGCCAAAGGTCCCACCTGCTCCTGCCTCTCACCCAGAAACATGACACCAGAGTAGAGGATGCAGGAGAGAGGAAGGAGAGGAGAGATAGGGGGACTGAAGAGGGAGAAGATGTTGGTGACGGGAGATGAGGAATGGGAGCAAGACGATGAGCAGGCATAGGGAACTGTGGGTGTATCTGAACATGAGACTCATTAATGTGATGTCCTTGGGGAGATACCTGAAGTTTGTGGCATAGTATTTCAGAAAGCCCACAAGCAGGTCACCAAGGGAGGACTGGTTTCTAGAGATGTAGGGGGGGATGTGTTTGGGTCCCTCTGGAACCATGTTGATGTCCATGAGGGGATTGAAACACTCCTGAAAATCAAGGCACAGGACAAATGCTGAAAACTGAGTGACACTGCACATTAGGGATGAATGAAATGATTTACAACCATTTTAAATCTGGATGGTAACAGAAAGTATAACAGATATAGAAGACTTTGCCCCTTGAGTTTTGTCCACAGCTGCTTTTCCTCATTAAGTTAGTGGGTTATTTGATTAGTGGAGAAAGGGCATTAATGAGTATATACTATGGATGGTTAAAAAAAACTGTTCTGATTTTGAGAGAAAGATTTGCATGTCATAAGCAATGAACACACTCACTGGGTGGTCCCTTTGCAGAGAAGGAAGGACAGGTTCATTAAGAGCTGTAACGAAAGCAACATCACAAACATGATGAGATTCACTCCAATCAAAGCTACAGAGGAAACAACAGATTTTGTGTGTGTGTGTAATTGTACTGACTTTGCAGGTAATGCAGGATCATAAGCACCAGTGTGTAGCTGCTTAATGTTCCTTTGCTGGCATCATTGATTTGGTGATGCCATGCCCACTTCTTGATGACGAGTATTAAGGGTCTTATCCGGAGATCAGCTGTGAGAGACAACACAAACAAACGCAGCAGGTCAAATCAAGAAACCTCTTTATCCACTCCTACAGCTGACATGGAAAAAGACGATGACTAGTTACTGCCACAGAAATTGAGATTTTAGTCTTACCCACCATAAGCGTAACTCCTCAGAAGGAATGTGTTTCTGATGCCCACTGTGTTGTTGATATTAAGATCAAAATCCAGATCACTAAAGAAGGGAGGTATAGTGACAGATTCACATTAAGACTACTTTCTGATTTGATGTTGTAAAGCTTCAAATGTTTAATTCTTTTGCTTCTACCTGTCTTTGTCTTTGAACCTGAGGATTGGCACCTTGGCTCTGATTAGCTGGGTCCTTTCTACATAAGCTATAAATGAAAACAAGCATCATTAGATTCATTTTAGTTTCAGTTTCCTTTCCCATAAACATGAAACTCCTTTTAAAACTGTATAAAACGCTCCACCTAGTGGAGGCTGCAGAGAATACAGAAACAGAGGCAAAGCTGAATAAGAAGTAAGATGGTAGTAAGAAAGCATGTTTCCATGTTCAAAAATGTCCAAACTTATATTATGTGTCTTATTCCAACTTATTTCATGTTTTCAAAATTATTTCTTACTACTCACGGAGTGATTTAAACAGCTTTTGCAGGACAGAGAGCACATGAATAGGATCTGGTCTCTTCTGAAACAAAAAACAACGTGTAGATGTCTAAGAGAAAGTAGATAAGACTGTAGATTTTAGATATATACTATGACATTAGCTGCAGAGAGTCAGAGATACTTACTTGAAGCTGGAGGACCAGACACAGATCTGCATCACTGTTGCGGCAGCCCAATCCATTCATCGAAGATCCAGTCAAGTAAAGTCGTGCTACAGGCAGAAACACATTAATTTACAAATAATCACAACAGAAAATAAGAGCAGAAAGTGACTGTATAACAGCTTAACACACCTGCATAGACTTGTTGTATATCTCGCTGCAGCCGTGCTCTGCACATCTCCTTCCAGGTCAGATCTGAAAGTTGCTGCTGACACACCTCAAACAGCTCCACCATCTGAGTGCTCAGCTGAGGGCACAAACACATGTAATCTTAACAAAACCAAAACACACCTGCAAATACAAACACATAGTCAGACTTGATATATGTTAGATGCGGATTAAGACCATCTGAATACACACTACCTTGTCCTTAGCATAGGTCTGCAGGCTGATGTGGTTTTCTGGGGCAGGAGGCACCTGAGGCCTGGGATTGGGGTGTAGGCTGGGATGAAAACCAGAGTAAGATGATTGCGAGGACCCAGCAAACACTTGGTCTGGACATAAATGAGGGGGAGGGGCTCGAACTGAAGTGGACCCTGTCTTTGGGTGGGTAGAGGAGTCGAGGCGTTGGCGTTTCACGACATTGGGGCTGTATTCCTCGTTCTGCCTCCTGGAAGAAACAAAGTAAAGTGACAAGACATATTAAAAGATAAACTTTGATCTGATGAAGAGTTTCTAGAAACATAAGCATGAGACACAGGTTATTCAGCAGTGAATGAATAAGAAAATGACTTACTTGCGCCTGTTGGGCAGAGCTGCTGTGTACAGAGGGGCGTCTTGAGAGGCAGAATGTGAGGATTTCCATTCATATGTGGGTAACCTCTCTAGACCAGGAACATTAAAGCTACAAAAAGACAAGCACGTGTTACTGTACAAGACAGACGATCAAAGAAGCACTATCTGTCTGCACCAGCCTCTTGGCACATCAAACTGCAATGAAGACAAAGTTATCATCTCCCAGAACAACAAACTCCAGTTTACAACAAGCTTATCTCTGACATTCAAAGACTTCAACTTTGATGGATATACAGTGATCTGACAGAAAATGTTTTGAATGTGCTTCATGTCTGTGAGTAAAAACAATATTGAAGCTTGGTCGGAAGAATACAGACAGTAAAAGGAGATACTGCATTCTGTAGTATTCCTTCATGTATTTATCACTATCGTATCCTATCTCATACTTACTACGTGTCCAAAATTAGATTATTCCTCACTGAACCATGTTACATCCATACATGTGTGATGACTGTTTTACCTAAATGAAGTTGTATATCTGTCCTTTGTGTAACTATTTCACCTTGAGACTCTACCTGTTATGGCTGTAACCTTCTCCACTGGAGGATCACATCCTCTACTTTATATGTAGGGTCTGTGGCAAGACCTTGGTTTCTATGGCAACTGCCTTTGGGGAATTGGCCAGCTGGATGTTATCGATGTCTCAGCCAGGCTACAGACAATTAACTGTTGTTTATAGGGCCTTCTAACACCAACCAATTTACATTTATGGGACATAATAAAAGAAAAATCGTTATTAATTATTCAAAAAAGACGATTTAATAATAGATCCGCAATTAACCAGATAAAAAGAGTCCCAGCAAGTGACTATGTCTTTACTGCTGGTGACTGACGCTGATGATCTCCAGCACACACGCACTCATCATTTCATTCCCCGGACTCACCTGTTGACTGCTGTCGGCCTCTGGTGGTTGTAATCATAGTACCGGGGCACTGGAGGTGGAGGGTACGGGCCGTGACTGTGGGCTGAGCGGCCCCTCAGAGCAGCGCCGCGGGTGAACATGCTGCGGCACTTCGCGGAGATGCAGCATCAACTCCGCTGAGAGGAAAACAATGGCACCACGTCAACAGCCGAACAGCACTAAACTTTGAAAGGTGACACACACACACACACACACACGGAATTATTTCACGTTAAAGCGACGAAGAACCCATGAAAAGTGACAGAGGAAACCAAAACTTCCCAGGGATCAGCCTGTGTAGCAAGTTAGCAAAGTTAGCTGATGTAAAGTAGCGCGTAGCTAGCTAACTCAAACATCATCAGCCATGTTGTCTTAAAATGAACAACACCTCTCTGCAGGTTTACATGAAGAGTACGTCTGTGATAATATGTCGCTAAATGTCAAGAAGTGTTCAAAACCCGAACCCGCGCTCAGTCACTCACCAAATTTCATGTCAAATGTCAACAAAACTCAAACAGCTACTTTCGCATGTCCACACTTCCGCGTTGATGCCGTGACGTAATTGAGTTGCGCTTAAAGGGGACGTACTACTGCGTCCGTTAAAGGAAACAACCACCCAAAATAAAACAAAGCCAATAAAAAGGTTTGGCTCATCTGTGCTGCAGTAATAATAATGGACATGACGTAAAAGTTGTAAAAAGCCGGTCTCGTTAAGATGTTATGATGTACACGTGATTGTATGTGTGTGCTCTTTGTTCTGTGTTTGATACCCAAATGACTTTAATTTGAATGAGGTGCATCAGATAAGGCCGATCACCGGTACGTCACCGTGCTGCTTCAGGATTCATCAGCTCACTCTCTCTCTCTCTCTCTGTCTCTGTCTCTCTTCACTGTCGGACTGAAAAGTTCAAATTCAACTGAGCGTTTTAATGTTAGAAACAAAACAGATAATCTAATTCAGGATGGCGTGACAGACGATCATTACTGTATTATCGTTTTGGATGCACCGCTGTTAACCCCTGAAACTCCAAAAGTGTTTTGTGGACTCAAACACTTCACCCACCTCTCCATCTGCATAGTGGTGAGTAGATAATGAGTGAATTTTCATTTTTGGATGAACTATTCATTTAAAGACACAGATTACACATTCACTGCACATGATAATAGACGCCTCCCTTTGAGCTGCAGAGCAAAGTATGAAATCTCATTTTACAGCCTTATAGGATAACATTTTCTCCAAGCCGGTGGGTGAGTGGGCACAACTTCCCATTAAACTTCTCATGAAACAACCTCAAACATCAAATGACATCGGTCCCTTGAGCGCCGAGTGACGTCACTGCGGAGGACGGTGTCGTGACGTAGGCAGTTCGATACTGACACTGATCTGAGTGGGAGGGAAGCGGATGCATCCATCTGCCAGATGTGGAGCGGCTTTTGGGGGGTGGGGGGTGGGGCTGCACATAGGGGCCTATTAGATCAATACAGCACACAGAGAGAGGGTCAGCAAATAGAAGCTGCAGAATAATGTGAGTCATGCGAACAGTAAAAGAGCATTGATAAGGGGCTCATTAATACATGCATCAATTGGTTTTGCAGAGGCACAACAGATTGCTTTATATCCAAAGTGCTGCATTTCTCTTTATTATAGGAGCGCACTGGTGATGCTGAATGTGGGGGAGAGCTGTGAAATAGCTGTAGTCTGGGCGAGAGTGGGGGTGTAGCCTGTGAACCTACGGTAATGAGGGAGGGAGGGAGGGAGACGGAGAGAGAGGTGGACAGTGTGATGCTGTCTGTGCGTTATCTGCTGCCTAAATGAGGGTTGTCTTTTCCCAGCTCTGGCAGCAGGGCTCCTCCACCCTTCCAGAGACCGGGATCTGGCATTTACGCGGCTACAGCAGAGCGCACGTCAAGTCTCCATCGGAGCCTTGCGCTGGATCTCCCACAGCTCCTCTGCTGCTGCTGCTGCTGCTCCAGCTCCATCATCACCAAACGACACCCAGCGCCGGAGAAGAAGCAGAAGAAGCTGTGATTTCCGTGCCATGTGCACAACGACATGTATGTGTGAATTCACGCGGTGACAGGGGGACAGGGGGAATGGAGCGGCTGTCATCAAATTCCTGAAGACGCACCGATAAAGGGAAGGCTGTCGTGTAGAAGAGAGAGAAGACCTTCATACGCAGCAGCAGCCAATCCGAGACATTCATTTTTTTCTTATTATTGCCGGTGAGAAGGATCAGTGGTCAGGTGTCGCCTTTCATTTCAACCACAACAATGGGGTAAGTGTGATTATTATCCCACAAAGGCTTGACTGTGAGATCCATTCCCCACCTCATCCTCTCGGTATTCACATCAGCTGCATGCGGCCGCCTCACACCATATGAACTTGCCTGCCATGGAAACCACACCACGCATAAGAATATAATAACCCGGGTGCATATGCGTAATGATCAGGCCGTCTTAACATGAGGGCTGGTGGCGGATGCACACATTTGCCTGGCATCTGTGGCTGAGCAATGATCTTGTCATGGCCTTCATGTGCAGCACAGGATAACAACCAATTCAGATGTGTATCATAAAGGAACTTGCATCTCTGGATAAGATAAAATATGTTCTGTTGAGTAAAATAGAAACCCACTTCAGGATCAAGACAAATGCAGGTGCAGAAGTTCCATCATCAAACTTTTACCATCCAAATCTGCAGTGATACTCCCCAGGTTGCCTGTATAGAAAAGTTTAAATTAGAATTTACGATCTAAATTCCTCACTGCTCCATATTTATTTTGCTGCCCTGTAGAACAATAAGATATTGGATAAAGATGCTGTTTTTTGGGCCTCTCTGTCTCACTGTTTACTACCCACCTACATTATAGACAGTTATGTAATTCTGGAAAAAGCCATTGCTAACAACAGCCTCTCCTCTTTAAATATTCTCACGTAGAGAAACTGTGGTCTGATCTTCTGTAGGATCCTTGTCCTGCTCAATAGAGGTCTGTGAACCATATAATGTCAAAAGCAGGTAAATGGAGCTACAAGGCTACACAAGGCTGCAGCGACAGAAAGTGTCTTCCTGTCTCTATGGCAGCACGGTGACCGCTGCCTCACACATCCTCAACAAACAGACACCCATCGGTGAAGTATCCAGCCTGGTGCACAGCGCTGCTCATTTGCATGTCCCCTAACCCTGAGCTCAGCAGTCCATTTCCCCCACCAAGCCTGCCGTTCATTAACAGCTGTCTCTTGCAGTTCATTGTGATTAATTGCACAGCAGGAGGTTAACAATATGGCACAGGCATGGTGCGATTTCAAGGCATCAGCCCGAAACTCCTGCATTAACTATTTACAATACACTGGAGGCCTCTCAGGCGCCCACTCAGCCCTCCTACAGTGTGGGCAGCACACATCATTCAGCAATCTCCCACTCAGCCTCAGCTCTCCACTGAGCCCTGCCACACTGGTGACTAACTTACTGTTATGCAACTGACTCAGTGACTCAATTGATCCACAGTGATTTGAAATCTAAACTGTGATTTACAGCACAAAGCTCAAGTGTGAATATGTGCAGGTGCAGGTGAGATCGGAGCGAACATGAAGTGAGTATAGGTGCAGGTCTGCTGTCTTGCTGCCTGTCTGACGTTAATGGCACAAACACACAGATAGAGTCATATTTCACATACAGCCTCGTGGCTCAATACCAAGCCGCTTACAGGTCTAATGGTAACGACACGGAGGAGAACATTAGTGTTATGGGATGAGAACAGGAGATGCTTATCAACACTCTCTCTGGTGCGCTCTCACTTCCTCTGGCAAATACAATCAATTCAGACGAACTCAGTTTCGCTGCCTGTCTTTGCTCGTGTGTGTGGGTGTGTGAGAAAAGAGTGAGTGTGTGGTTTACTGGCACATTTTAGGTCATCCCTGTAGATTGGGGCAACAGGGAATTTTCTCATTAATTACTCCTCTCTACCTTAAATAAGATCTACTCACTGTCAAACTTGTTGCCGGTGAGTTAATGAAAAAGACAGGAAGGACACTTTCAAGAGAGTGGAGGAGTAGAGTTGGAGGTGGCACGAGAAAGTGAGATCTCCTGAGATGTTTCATTACGCTTCAGTTAATTTCTCAGCGTCTGTAGAAAAAGGTGCAGCTGCATAGTTAAAGGGGACACACTGTAGTAGAAAGTAAAATGCAGCGTGTGTGTGCGTGTGTGCGTGCGTGTGTGTGTGTGTTTAGCTGTTTGGTTGACTCAAAGCCAAGTGTTCACATCTGTGCATCAAACCCCTGAACCCAGGAGGCACTATATACAACAATAAAGGTGTGTGTGTGTGTGGGCGTGCGTGCGTGCGCATGTGAATGCCCTGTAGGCGGCTATACAGAGTTGTTCACTGATCAATAATAGTGTTAACATAAGTAGAGTTGAGGTGACCATCATAGCTGAACATAGTACAAGTTTTTGTTCATTTTTTCATTTACATCTTTTTAAACAATTTTACAAAGTCTAGAAACATCCCTGCCATTTTTCATGGGGTCTACTTATTTGATAAAAACTGTCAACAATGAGAGCTGCTATACCCAGACAAATGTGGACATTGTTTCTGCTGAAAAGATGTTGAGTCCACTCTACTGGTGTGTGGGCAGAACTATCTCAAAACCTGGACAAACAAAATCACTAGATACCACAAGAGGTATATGAAAATATGTTTATTTTTATTTTGTGTGTACTTACCCTTTAATTCACATCACACATCTGCCACTCTGTCTTTATATCTGTCCACCTGTAGTGACTTTTCCATAATTTACCAAGAGGGTGATTTTAGAAGCTGGTATCAATTCCTTATTTCAATACTGATGAACTCCAAGTAAAAGCTGTCAATCACTATTATAATTAACAAAATAAAGGAGCATTTAAAAATCTCTATCAAAATATTAATTTATGAAAATACTGGATAATATCACATCACTTTATTTTAGAAGATAATGGAAAGTAATAGAATGTGATATAATATAATGTAATGCAACTAGCATAATCTAACTTAAGATAATGTAAAGCAAGGTAACATAATGTAATGTAATGTAAAATGATGTAATATAATACAATGTTACATAGCATAATGTTACATTACCTTACGTTACGTTAAGTTAGACTTTAGGCTGTTAAGTCGCAGCAGACCATGTGCCGTTGTTACTGACGACCCAGGAATGGGTTATGCTATGATATGTTATGTTACATTACATTATGACACATTATATTACATGACATTCAATTATTATTGTTATGTGTGCCAAATGGTGCGAAGCCACCACCCATCCAATGTGTAACAAGCATAACACAACGTAATGTAAAAATTTGTCATATAATACAATATTACATAGCATCATGTTACGTTATGTTACGTTAGACTTTACACTATGACCGTTTGTCCTACGGCCCTTAGCTGTTTGACATTGTACCTTTCTGAGCGTATAGATCTGAGCAGCCACAGTTCATCTAATTGTTTGCACCTCCCAGTTTAGAGCTTCCCACTTCCTTCATCTTCTTCTGCGATGGGTGGATTCATCAGGGCTCCATCTTCTCCTACATTCATCACCTCCTCCACGTTCCTCCTCATCCCTCCGTCCTTCTCTCACTTCATCACTCTCCCTCCCTCTCTCATTCTGCCTGCCCTCTGTCTCTCTCTCTGTTTTAACATTCACATTCCACACCTGCCCTTGTGTGACGCAGTACACTCTGCATACTTAACACCTCCTCCTCCTCTTCCTCTTCTTCCTCCACACTTTTTCTACTACCTCTTATTTCTCCCAACTAAATCTACCATTTTTTTACACTCTTTTCCCTCTTCCATTTCCTCCTGTTAACGTGGCAGGCAGCTATAGTTTTCACATTCACACTCTGCATGCCTCCTTCATGCATGATAGAAGTTAGATAGCTTTTCTTTCTTCCTTTCTTCTCCCACATGCTGGTGCTAGACATCATTGCTTTTGTGTGAGAAGATCAACATGGTCTCAGTGGACCCCCTTGGGATTTAGAGTCTCTGTAACAAAAAAAAATGAATAAAGACGGCTGTGGGAGTTAGTGTTATGGGTCGCATAACTTTCCTGTTATATAAACTTGCTTTTAATGAGGAAAAATATATACAGAGATTGTTTTTATTCATATTTTGTAAGAAAGTAGCATTCATCATTTCACGATGGAAGGAGATCCATCATCTTGTAGGAGTAGATATTGCTTTTATTTGACAAGTGGTGGGTGTCATTTTGGAACTAAACTGGTTGGCTCAGGTGTTCGTGTAAAAATCAAAGCACAAAAGCACTGTTGTGTTTGGTGCACACACACACACACACACACACGCACACACGAGGAGCTGAAAAATTTGCCACAGCTCCAACAAATTATGCAATGAAAAACGCCAGTTGCCAAGAGGCTATTGCACAGATCATACAGACAGGCCGTGGTTGTGATGTGTGCAGTGAGAGAGTTGAAATGACTCACAGTTCTGCCACTTACACTGCTGTCGATGATTATGATAATTCACAAACAGCACTCCACAAGCGGCTTTGTGGGACGGCATTAATCATCTCACATTCACTCTCTGCCTTCCCATACTCCTCAAATTCCAAATCATTCTCTCTCTTCCTGCCTATAACGTCCCTCTCTCCGTCTCTCTCTCTCTTTCCCTGTCTCCATGTTTTTCTTTCTTTTCCAGTCTTGGCTAATCACACTCAGGAGGGGTGCTGCTGCTGAATTTTAATATTAATTTATACAGCAAGCCTTTTGATGTCCCCCATCACCCCCTCAGTGCAGTGTAAGCACTTCTCTATCTCCTGCTCTGCCAGCACTGCCAGCCCAGAATATCTCCCTCTGCACCCTGTGCTTTGAGTGTGGGTGTGTGTGTGTGTGTGGGTGTGTGTGTACTGACTGTAGATATTACCCGAGAATCTCCAAAAATGCTGGAATATATGAGGGCACTGGAGGAGCGAACGGTGGAGCGAGGGATAAATGGATGGAAGAGCGAGGGAGTGAAGGTTACATGTGAGTGACGGGTGAATGGTTGGTAAAAAAAAAAAACCCAAAGAAAACGAGGATGACTCTTATATAATCCCCAACAAACACAAATTGGTGTGAGTCTAAACTCAGGTTTGAGTATCACACAGAGGTCAATAAGGAATTAAGTCATCTCATCTGAACCCGTCATGGAGTTTTGATCATCTTCTCTTCCAAGCGACACAAGCACAAATCCACATATACACTTACAGATTCATAGGTTCATCACATGGACTTTTATGCTGTGTATGTGTGTGTGTGTGTGTGTGTGTGTGTGTGGAAACTGCAGCTCTGTGGGGTGTGTCTGTGGTAGTTAACCATGGCCTACTGTCTATATTTAGCCTTGAACCCTCTCGTTTCCCCCCCTGTGCTCCCGTGTGTGACCCTCGCTCAGAGCTGCAGGCATTCCCATATCAGAGCAGTGAGAGTCGAAGCCGCCTTACACAGGGAGAAGGACTTTCTGCTGGAGAGCTGTGTGCACTGAGTGTGTAGATTAGAGAGATAACTTGTTAGTGGAGGTGTAGATTGAACATGTATGTGGGAACTCTGCTGTAGTTCAAGGGTTCAGTAAGCTTGTTGTCTTTGTATACAAGACTATGAGTGTGAGCAGGGTCCTTTGACAGCCTCTCTTCCCTTGGTGTAACTATGGAGGAAGGCGAGTTGGAAATACGGTTGCCAGGGCGATCTGACTCCCCTGTGGGCAATAGGAGGTCCGATGGCAGCAGCGGGTTTGGTGAGACGTTGGTGCTGCGGCACAAAGAGGTTCACCACTTCTTTTTCGTCCCCTTCAGGGAGCAGCCCATCTACAGCACGCGGGCCCACGTCTTCCAGATCGACCCCAACACCAAGAAGAACTGGCTGCCCACCAGCAAGCACGCCGTCACCGTCTCCTACTTCTACGACAGCACGCGCAACGTCTACCGCATCATCAGCCTGGATGGCACCAAGGTGAGCATTTGATTTAGATTGTTGCTGTTCACCTCTCACACACACACACAGACTTCTTTATATGTTTCCTGCTGTATCCATCCTTTGTGTTATTTTTAATTTCCACCAGCTGGCATGGTTTTATTTAGATGTTCCAGATGTTTCCATATAATCACCTCATCACACATCAAACATCCTTTCAGGAGATTTTAGTGGCAGTGTGTGTTAAAGGTACAGTGTGTAGAATTTTGTGATATCTAGTGTTGAAATTGCATGTTGCAGCTGAACACCCCTCACCTCACCCTCTCCTTCCAAACATGAAAAAGAACCTGTGGTAGCCTTTAATTGTCATAAAAACTCAGAAGGCCTCCGCAGAGAGGGTCCCCTCGATGTAAATATAAAGTATTTGAATATAAAGGGACTTTCTGGGGTAAAGAAAACTACAATTCATCCAATTTAGATGACATGAACAAGTGAAAACATCATGAGGATTATTCTACATAAAATTTCTGCCAATAGTTCCCTTTCACCTAAATCTTACACACTGGACCTTTAATGGTGTTAATAAGCTCTGCACTGGAATCAAAAGAGGTCAGTGTTGCAGCCCGCCCAAGACCGCCGACTCGTGTTTCACCCTGTGCCTGCGTGCATCTACTGTATTTATGCATGTATGACTTAATGTCTCAGGTTATTCTTGTTAAGGATCCAGGAGGGATATTTCTGCTGGGGCATGGTGTGATGGAAGATTTTATACAGGGACGGACCAGTCACACACATGCACTCTGCCCACCAGTTATGGAGATGGGGATGGGGGGTGAAGTATAAATGAGAGAAACAGATGTGAAAAGGATGTGTGGTAGAAGGAAAAAAAACTAGAGAAGGCAGAAAAGTGTGAAGCCAGGTGAGCGAGAAGGTGGGAGACCTTGAACAGAGCAAAGTGTGCATGAGCAATTTCTGATGGTCAGTATATCACACAGATAAGAGATGATCTTAATAGAGATTTGAATTATCAGCCATAATATTGTAACTAACCAAGGTAGACTTACCATCCGCTACAAGAGTAGGAAACATTGTTAAATTAACCTGTAGAAGCCAAAAGTACATTGTTTTATACACAATTTCAAGGAGAAGTACTACACTACCCACAATCCTCGGGTGTAATATCGACATCTCTGATTGAGGGAGCTCCCCGTTATGATGGAAATGTTTACTACAACTTTGAAAATCATGTTGGCTATGATCGGAACATTCAGTGTTACTACACTAGGTTACTATATTATACACTGAATGGAACTGTTTATACATGAATACAGGAGCAAACTACAGTTTTTTGCAATAACAAGTGTTTGGAAAGGGATCATTTGAAATGGTATATGGGACACGTTTTATCTAGTAGCTGTTTGGCCTGGTTTATATAAGGATTTTCTGAAACGCCAATAGAGAAAATGAATGACAAATTACCAGAACTGTCCTCAGTGGGCGGTCACTGTTTCGCTCAATAGACACTTGATCACTAAATTCCACACACACTCTCTGACTGCTACCCTGCTCAAAGTCATTGTCGTGTATTGATGCCAGCCAGAATATCAGCTATTACACAACACTGCTAATTGATCAGCCATTAATTTGTTCTCTATTTGTGTTACCTAACAAAGGAAGTTGACTTATATAAGAACGATTTCTTTGGTTAATGGAAATTAAAGGAACTCAATACTCTGTGACTTTTCCACAAGCTCATCTTTTGCAATGAGGAAATCAGAAACCAGACATGAACATATCCTTTCATTTACTTTAAAAGGATTATCAAGCAAACATTGCTTAGTCAGTAGTGGATTTAATTGTGTATGTGCCAATAACAGATTTGGAAATCAAATGAGTATTTACCACAGCAGGATGGTGTATGTGGGACTGACTGAAAATAAATGTTTTGGGCTTTTTTTCAAACCATTTTTGTAAACAAGAAAAATGTCTCCCAATGCAAAAATGTCTGGATATTGAGCTTACGCACACTTTCTAAATCCTTGTTTTACTTCTATGTCAGCCATTTCCTTTTCCAGTTTCTCTTTCTATTTACCAGCCACTCTATCCTCTATGTGTATGCCTTTAAAGTTTGTTGTGTTGTAATGATGCTACATCACTGAATCTGCAGCTGAAGGCTTTCAAAGTCACACTGAGCCGCCCTCTGTTCACTTCACAAATATGGATGTTATTGTGTTGGTGGGAGTGGGCCTGACGTAGACCAGAAGCTATATAATTTCTGTTCTCTCAGGCCTCCCCTGTCTCTCGCACATGCATAGAAACACAACACTGACAGTGCTATTTGTTACAGTCTATGAAACGTCTGAAAATTGTGAAAATTCTCAACGCAATTACCCAGAAGCCCTTGGTGATGAATTCAGAGACTTTGCTTTGTCTAAGATTTAGTGCAAAACACAATTGTATCCAGTAAGCAATATAACTTGATAATAAATCTCTGCTAGGTTATTTATTAACATATTTCTATCGAATAAAGAATCTAATAATCAATTAATTGTCACACACACACACCTGTATGCACAGCAGTAATAAAGTTAATAGAATACATGTTAAGTGGGTTGTCTCTGTCTTGCAGGCAATAATCAACAGCACCATCAGTCCCAACATGACGTTCACAAAGACCTCACAGAAGTTTGGACAGTGGGCAGACAGTCGAGCAAACACTGTCTACGGCCTGGGATTCTCGACTGAGCATCACCTAGCCAAGGTGCCGCATGCACACACACACACACACACAC